ATCACACATCCATACATCACATGCAGGGATAAAATTGATCCAATCAATTAATATCTGTAAAACTCATTATTAAAGTCCTTAATAATTCATAATATTACTGATTAATATTATCTAGGTATATGGACTGAATAGCAAAGAACAGTTCGGTCCATATAGTTTTTATGCAATTAATGGGCTTAAGCAGTTTTAACACACTAAAACTGGGCTTTACAGGTGTGGGCCGAATTAGATCTTGCAATTAACTATCAATCCCTTGACCTAAGAGTAAAAAATTAGGGCTGAGAACAGCCCCCATCGAACCACAGATTCGGTCCAACCAGTTTGGTCCAATCTGGTTCAAATGGGTCTAGGGTTTGATTTTTAATTCAAGATTTTAATTTAAGAATTGATCTGAAATTAAATTWCTGATAAAAGACATTCAAGAATCAGTACTAGGGCTGTTCGCAGACCTGCTACCCTATAAAACTGAGGTTAGTTCACAACTTGCAGTTTCTCAAACTGCAAATCATAGATGGGCGAACCTTAATCTGCGAAAATTCTTCCTTCTGCGCAATCAGCTTCGATCTTGAGTGAAATAAAATAAAAAAACCCTAATTTTCTATTAATATTACATCAAATCGAATTGCTATACATTCAGTCTAGAAAATAAAAATAATAATTACATACCAGAATGTAAAAGAACTACAAAGCGCAAATTTCTTGCGCCAATCAAGATTATGATCTCCATCGTACGAACAACCCATAAATCAAGATAAATATAAAGAACAGTTCTAAATATATAAAATATTTAATTTCAGATCATTCGCCCTTAATCTGGGAACCGATTTCCCAGAAAATCTCTTATCTGTGCAAATCGGGTACAACGCCTTCTACCCATTTGCGTAGTTTCAAATCTGGCCAAATTCGATTCAAGATTTGAAACTGGCTCTGATACCACTGAATGGATGAGAGATCCATCATATGGATGGCTGAACCCTGCAGGTAGGTTGGGCGAAATTGCAAAAATTTCTCTCTCTCCCATGTGGGAATCACATTCCCTATTTTAGAAAACTGCATTTTCAATGATTAATCTTGAACCCTAAACCAGACCAGATCTAAAACCAAAAGGTAGGAAAGGGAAATACCTGATACAGAGTAGTAGTAACTCCCAATGAAGGTGTTCACGCCCAAGGAGATCACCAAAGACTGATCCCACTGAAGATGACACAGCGTAGGGTGGAGCAGAATCAATAGGGTGGTTCTTTAGCAAGAAACAAATTCTTCTCCAAGAATCTGATGAAGGGCGAGTGAGCACGACTTCAGATCAGTTTTTCTTCCAAAAACTAATATCAAGAACCTTTCTTAATCGCTCCTACAGGTGGAAATCGAACTGGCAATGGCGGCAGCAATAGAAGAAGGCAAGAGCAGAAGATGGTGCCAGTCTAACTGTAGCTGTCTTCTCTCTTGTATTAGTAATCTGATGGGTTAATTGGGGTTCGCCCTCCTCCTCTATTTATAGCCTTAAAAAGAGGTTCTCCTAATCCCATTAGGAATTTGTTAATCCAAATCTTGTATTTGGATCTGGACTCTCTTTAAGAGATAAGGATAATCTCTTATCTTATCTACAGATAAAGATCAGCCCTCCTAATCTAATTAGGAGTTTCCTGATCCAAATCTCTATTTGGATCTGGACCCTCTGAATGGATAGAGACAATCCCTTATCCTATCTACTGATCTAAATCCTAGAACCACCCCTCTTTAATTAATCATATTAAACCAGTTTGAATTGGGCTTTAGGCCCATTAAGTCCATGTGCTCACTTTTTCTCCAAACTGCTGCCCAGTTGTATATCATTGTATGGCGTGGGACCCAAACATTGATCTACACATCAGCCACATGGGTTCAACCCAGCCTTTGTTACAAGGCCTCACCGAATTCACTGTAGGACACAGTGAACCCCTGAGCCCATCACCATGGGCTCTTAATGGGCCCAACATTTACACTAAATGGTCCTTGGGTCAATCCACCTTATAAAAACCCAAGGACTATGGGCAGATGCAAGATTAGCCCATCAGGCATTACCCTCAATGGTCTTACACTTAACCTCTCAGCCCATAATGATCAAACACTACCC